AATTGTGAAGTAAATGAATTTTAAATCTGACGAGGCATTAAAACATGATTTGAACTGATTTCTATTCTTAAAAAAATTTATCGTGTAAATTGTAATGTGTCAATGTTAGATCAACAGAAACTCCGTTTAATTATTAAACGAGTAAAAAAACGCCATAATTTAGTCTTTGCTTGGCCATTTACATATGAAAAAAGTTCTGATATATAAAAATAGTTTTCATTTTCTAAGTTACGTTTTCAACAATTATTACTCTATGCTTGCTCACTAGCGTACATTAATCATACTGTTATCTGAAAACATTTAGTTTAGCCAATAATTCACTTTTTTTATCATAGATGTACATTGAAGAAACTGTACAGGCACAGAAAAAGGACGTTGCAGTATTGGAAATACTACGTAGACAAAAGACTATTGTCTTAATTGTTTATTTAACGACCCAATTCTAAACTGGAGCGGCCATTTAAATTAAAGTCTCTTTTCACTAAATCAGATTTTGACTGATTTATTTTTATTAGGACTATAAAATCTTGTTTGAAAATCCACTACTTTATAAATTTTTCCAATTTTTCTCATTTTTCATGCTCAGTTTTTTATGCTCAGTATTTTTCATGCTCAGTTTCTCTCATTTTTTCATGCTCGGCGATTATTAACACGTCCCTTTTAACTTTAACTTGAAACAAGATGGATAAATATTTAGCAGTCTTGCCGGCTGCGCTGGAATTCTCCTTGCTTTGATTAAGCAGAGATGCACCTGCAAAAAGATGCATCAGAGAGTGTATTATGAATTTTTAATAAGACAAAACTGGAGGCTGCGGTTTTAATCAAAGGGGACTAATAATTTAAAGATATTTGATTTGAAAAAATCAAATGAAAACTAGTTGAAAATTCCCTTATAAGAAAGGGAAAATTAAGGCGCAGGTAAAACCTGAATACTTGAAGATTGAATCAGCCGCCGGTTTATGCTTACGAGCAAAAGGACTGGCCTGAAAACTCCAGTGTTTCATTTTGCTCAGTCAGCAGCAAGTCTTATCTCTTAACAGCTTCATTTTCAAAAAAAATTTTTTCTCTTTTATACACACATAAAACTAGTCTTTTTCCAAGTAAAATAGAGAAAAAAATTTCTTTTTAATATCGATAAAAACCTTAAATCGAGATACGTACAATAGAGGAAACCCAGATCAGAGGGACGAAAAGGACAACAATTCTGCAGACGACCCAACAGAAGTGAAGAAGTGGACTCAACCAAGGGTGACCCGAGAATACTACACAATCGTCGACCTTAGTAAGAAGATAAAATATTGATGAACAAAAAATTTTAGATAAACCTTCCCTCATAAGTATATTTATTTAAGTTGTTCGATTCATTTATATAATCTAACAACCCTGTGCTTTGTATTTATCCAGATAATTAATTCATACCTTTTCTAACTATTGTTTCTACTACAACGTTTGCCAAGAAAACTTGACGATTTAAGTGAGACTTATAGTGGAGACTTATATTTTAGGATAAATTACTAAGCAATCAACCAGCAATGAACGCTTAGTAAAACGTCAAGAAAAATTTTTTACAATTCTGATTTTCAAAATAATGAGTTGCAGTTCCAATTTTCTGAGTTTCCGAGTTCTCAAACCTACTTTTGAAATATGGCTGAAGTTCGGCATATTGGTCAAACACTTTAATAAACGTATTTAGACTTTTAAAATATGCATGTTTCAGCTTTTTGCACTTTGAATGAACAATTTTTGCAACACAATTTTTAAGCAAACTATTCTTGATAAATTGACTCAAACTGGTTCCTAACGAAAAAACGACACAATTCTGAATTCAAACGACAGTTTTCATTGTAGGAAAAATCCCTCTTACAAGAAACCTTTTTAAGCTCAACAAGCGACACTTCCTGTAAAAGTTTTCGCATACAAAAAATAATTTTTTTTCATAGCGTAGTTATCAAAAAAATGAAGGTTAGTTTCTTGCATTTAGCGGCAGGCAACCTAAGTGTTTGTTTCTGATTGGCAATAGATACTTCGTCTAACTAAAAATTCCGCATAAATCACACTGGCGAAAAAAAAAACTTTCAAATGGTGGTACTTTACAAATTGAGTAATTTTTTGATGTCACTGTTTGGATCTTGTTATTTAGTTTTGCAAAACTTTTGTTAAACTTAGCAATAATTTAGAAGCTAAAGAAAAATTGTTTTGTAAGAATTTTTTAATGGTTCTTGAAATCAGAATAAAGGATGGTTTCTTCTAAAAATCACGAAATTCCTTCAAAAAACTGAAGGCAAAAATAACTTTTTTCAGCCTAAAAGTAAGAATAATTTCAAAGTGTTAAGGGGTTGTCCAATAATGTTTTTTAAAACTATACTACTCCTGCAATCAGTTTTTCGATTTGAATCTGCGATAGTTCACAAACAATATCAGCCTTTCGAAGGCTAGTAAAAAATTTTGTCAGACTTTGTATGCGCTAGTTTTGACGTCTTTGAAGTAAGCACAGCATTAATTTTTTTTCAGCTGCTATTATTATTTAGCGCCTGATTTAAGACGTCAATAAGGCAATAAGAAGACAACATTTCTACATTATATCAGTTGATTAAAAAAATTTTCGTTCCAAACTAATCTAAAAAACAGTTCATCGATTTCTTTAGTGTTCTACCTAAAGATTTTGATTCTTCCCATATCAGATTTAGCCGTTTTTTTTCTAGAGCCTTAGTTTTTGCGTAGTTCATACTTGCGTGACATAGACATGACAATTAGAGACGCTTCTTTGCATCAAATTTGTGCGCCGCAAAAAAAATCTCCACAAAAAAGCCAAAGAAGACGTTTTTAGACTCTTTTTTTATACAATTGAGAACAACATATTGCGTTTTTGAGCTCTTTCCTCCTCAAAATTAGTATATACTTTGGTCGACTAAAGTTTTGGTCGACCAAAATGGATGACCTACACGGCAGGAAAGATTTGGCGGGAACGGGAGTGGACGCTCCTCCACCTCAGAGTTCCGACCCTCCTCACTAACCAAAGGGTCCCCTTCTGGTATTACCTTAAGACATCCACTTTAAGCCGACCGACCCTACAGTTTTTCTGAAGGCGCCTTTGGTGCCAATAAACACTAAATTTGAAGGGGAGCGCGCGCCAACATAAAACTCTTTTTTTCGGTCAAAATTTTCCAAACAGTGCCCAAAAACGGCACTTAGACCTGTTTTTTCAAAAATCTATTTGGTTGATCGAAAAACAGCCCCCGATTGATGCCTCTAAAAGGGTTGCGAATTATTTTTTTAAAATTAAAAATTCTCAACTAAAAATACTTTTTCTCGGCGAACGAAATTGATTCTCTGAGGTCTGTCCACAACACTATCAAGACGCTATTTTGCCAAAATTACTGAACTCAGGAAAGTCTGTAAAAAGTTAGGCCAAAAATGACGTATCGGGCACTTTTTGATCAAAAATTTGCTTTTTTTGGAGTCTCCTTCAGTATCAAAACAGTTCAGTTTATGATCTAAAGTTGATTGATTTGGCACAGGAAACCTACTTAGCCAGTCTCTTTTAGAAAATTCTAAATGACAACACAGGCTGCGCACCAATACACAAGAACCAAATTAAAGGATTGATTTACGGGACGCAAGCAGCGTCCGTTGCCATCTGCTGTGTCAGTATGCCACGCAGCTGTTTGTGGAATTATACATGAAATTGTAAAATCACTTCAAAAATAATTACAAAAATTTTAAGATAGCCGTTATTATTCTAAAATAGCTGGTAGTATTTCGAAATAGTTTCTATCTTTTTTTAAAACAGCAATCATTTGTTATGGTTGCTTTTAATTTTAAGTGGTTTGTTATAGTTTTTGTTTCAAAAAGCGCTAGAAAATTGACGTTTTGAAAAGTAGCATTTTCGATTAGTCTCTTAAAAATACGGCTAAGAATTTTCGATTGGGATCTGATTTTTCTGATCATGCTTCGCAAGTGTTCTTGAAAGCAGATTCTTTAGACTTCAATTGGACTCAGAGTCTTCGCATCACTGAATGCAAACTTTTTCAATATTCAATCCTTTACATTGTCAACTTGGGGGGTGTCTATACTTTATAATCCCTTATTTCACCTTTTAAATTAAAGTATAATGCCGCGGGTATTTCCTTTTAAATAAAATTAGGTTATTATCTCAGGTTCCATTTAGAATTCTTTTTCAAACTTTTCCTTCTTTCTGCGCTTGACTTCCTTTTAAACAATGATTAGATGGGATTTGTTGTCCTCATGAGTACTGTTGAATTGCAACTGAATTGATTTGTTTGTCCAAGTGAGGGGAGTCCACAAGTGCTTTTTCCATCACTATTTTAATTGAAAAAGTGTATATAAACATCTGCGCTTTATAGCTTTGTGGTGTCCATTCTTTTCAAAATTTAAATAGTTACTCGTTCTTGCCTTAAATTTTAATTTTTTTTTATTTTGGCAGAGTGAGATTTGCAGTTTTTAAAATTTTTATTTTCAAAAAAAATTAATAATTTGCCGATAAATTTCTAAGCTACACTCGTTACTTGGATTCATAAATAACAAATTGTTTTTTGACAACAAATTCCTATCATCTCTCAGCTGCAAAACTGTTGGACTCCCCTCATTTCAATTTCATTTTAATGAAGCAAATATACTTTATCTATTTGACTATAAGATTGGGAACCGGTTTCTAGATTGACTTTGAAAAGTATGCTAAAATTTTTATTACCCCCTGCGGGTTTTCGAACTTATCTTCGTTCGTAAGACTTAGAGGGAGCCACTTTTTTAATATTATTTGATACTGAATTTGTTCTTATTTTAAACTTTCTCATCTCTGAATTAACAGGCAACTTTTGTTCCCTTCTCGAGATTTTTAAATTTTAAATCTCAGCCTAATCTTACTTTTTAACCAAGTTCGTTTTTTACCGGTCGCAAGTTGCTTTCTTTGATACTGAATTTTCTATTTGTTCTTATTTTCAACTTTCTCATCTCTGAATTAACACGAAACTTTTGTCCCCTTCCTCGAGATATTGAAATTTGAAAACTCAACTTAATCTTACTTTTTAACCAAACTCGTTGCTATTACCGATCGCAAGTTGCTTTCTAGTATACCTTAAAAGCCAAGTTGACGGAGATTTATAACTTAAGCATCTATTAGCTAAATTTACTGGACCATAACCCATAATCAGAACATACAGTTGAATTGTCGCTGATTGAAGGTAATCCGCAAAATCCTCACGAGCGACAATTATGGAATTAGTTTGTGCAAGATGGTCTAATTGCTGAACAATTTTGATAATCCGATAGTCAGCTGCGCCGCTCATAGTCTTACCATTTAATACCATACTTGAATACCATGCTTGCCTTCCCAACATTTGCCATTAATTACTTTCAAACTGTTCAATAGCTGGATTGATTGAATTAGTTCGAAATCTTGGCATAAACTTGATCGAAAACAGATTTATTTGAATGACGTAACAAGATAGCGAGCAATTGTTTTGAAAACATCTCAAATTTTTCTCGCGAGATTTAATCGTTATATCGGATTTCTTAAGGTTTCAAACTTTGGATATCTTTGCTAAGTTTGGCTGAAGTCAGGCCAAGTTTCTCACATTCTCACACATTTTTTACAAATCCGGATAAAGCCAGGATAATCCGGGGTGTATAAGTGAGGAGCCCTCGCTTCTCGACTTTCGTGAAATAGGATCCCCCTGGTCATTGGTAGTGTTACTTCCTGCTGATTCAAGTGAGGCGACGCTTATTCTTTAGTTATCGCCCCGCTTATAGTTTGCATATCGCAGTTGTCAATCATAAACATCGGAAAGATACCTAAATTCGAGTTCCAATTGGTCAAGCTATCAAACGCATTTGCTCACATCTGAAGCCAAGTTTGAGTAAGTTACTATTTACACAATTCATACCACGTCGAGTAACCCTTTGAGGAACACCAGCTAGAGTAAACTCAATTGTTTGGTCTACAAAACAGACTCATATCTTCACAAACCTCAACCGTAGAACAAATATCATTTGCAAACAAATTACTTAACAAGCAGAAGCACCAAAGTTCTATTTGATAGTTAGTTCAAACCGAAAAGATAATTATAAAAAACAAAAAATCCGAAATGGAAGCCTCCGCCCCAATTTTATCTTGGACTGAAATCGAGACAATGAAATCCGAAGAGCCCGTAGTTTTCACCCAAATGTGTCTAAACATGTTGAAATACATCACCCCAGACCTTTCAAATGATGCTACGAGGAAGATCCTGGAAATCAGGGAGTTCAAACCTAGTTTAGGCGGCGTAGGTTCGAATCCCGTCAGAAAATCGAGCAGGGACATGAGTGCGGATCACATGAGTTTGGCGGTGGCGACAAAAGAACCTATCTGTGATTCGTCAATTTGCATGATTCTCATCAAATACTTGGAGAACTGTAAGTATCGGTAAAAATGTGGGAGATCCGAAAAAGTGTCAGATAATGGCCACGGCATGGCATCCGAGTATTTGAGCCGGTCGTTTTATAAAGTTTCAAAAAGAGACACTTTTAGTGCAGAGGTGTTTCAGAATAGATAATTTTCAAAAAGAGACTATGTAAACTAATTATAATAGACGAGTTACGGAATCAATTAATGTTGCTGATTTGATTTTGTTTTCGCTTTGCAGATTGTGAGAAAGAGGGCATCTTCCGCATTCCCGGAAACCAGACTAGGATAGAGAGACTGACTGTTGAATTGGAGGAGAGGAACCTGATCAACTTCGCCAAGAAGAGATACTCCCACAACGACGTCTGTTCAGTCCTCAAGGGCTACTTAAGGAGGAGTCCCCACTCGCTCATTGAACCCAATTTGCACAAGGCACACCTACTAGTAGCAGGTAACAACACCACACTACTTTAAAGTTATCGTTTTTTGTGTTGCTTTTTGCTATTTTATATAAAAGTTTTTAAAGAAATATGACAATCACAAGGCCCTTTTGTATAAAATGGAAAGCACCTAATGAGAACGCCTTGAAATGTTGCAAGAAAAAACTTCTCATCGAAACCCTTTTTCCTCTTCGAAACATAGATCCGTTTTTTTAATTGCAAGAAGACGATCCAATTCTAGCTTCTGTTTTTTTTATAACAACACACATTTTAAAACTTTCGTTCATTTGTTTTTTTATTTTGTTTATTAATCATTTTTAATACAAAAAAGACTGTATGCAATCTAAATTGTTAATAAAAACTTGTGCATTATTGACTGTTTAGTTTAGCATATCAGTTACTGATCAGATATTAAATCAGATCAGTTATTAAATCAAACTTAACAGATAACAGATTCAACTTATTTTTTAATTTCGACATTACAGCACTAACTTACATAATAAGAACTCAATTATGCGAATCTTGTCTTTATGACTTGTTAATTATCATTTTGATCTAAATTGAGTCACAATCGAAACCCGTTTTCACCAAACTTAGATCCGCTTTTTTGATTTGGAAGAACAAAGATACAATCAACATCTATGTTTTGTTACTCCCAGGAGGAATAATCTTCCTCTGTTTGATTGGGATTATTTCCCTCCGTCAAATTGAGAACACTGAATAAATGGCCAACAGTTTTTCTCACTAATCTACCCTTAAAAGGGAACAGTGTTAATCCCTGATCCAACTTTAAAGAAACTACATGCGATAGTTTTGGTTTGTCTAAGTAGGATGATTTAGAAAAAGACAACATAGGATTTAGAAGTGAAAGCATTGACCAGTTTGGCTGTTTAGATATCACCTTTGATCTGGACTTGGCCCGGCAGCAGAGGGTTAAAAACTGGGAATCCGATGACAAGTTCCAGTACTGTGAGGTCAGTGACCCCTTAAGTGAGGAGTTCGTCACAGCGAAGAATCGTCATATCGAGGCGCTACAGATCCTGATGTCTCTGATGAGCAAAGATAGATACGATGTTCTGAAGAGTCTGATTGGTCTCTTGTACTCTATTGCGAAGAAGCAGAGTTTGAACAAAATGTCGGCTACTAATTTGGCCACCATTTTCACCCCCTCTGTATTATGGCCTCTACCTCCCGTCATCAAGGTATGCGATCGGATCAATCGGGCTTTTTTCCCGTTTTTTTGAGTTAAAATAATTGACAAATCCTAAGCAGTCGGCGATGAATTTGATCAGAATTTGTTTTTTCTATTAAAAAATTTCAAAAAAATAAGCTCAAATATGTCAAAAATTATAGACTTATATTTAAAAAAAATCCAAAAATATTCCTTATGAAAATCATAAAATTTGATAATGTAGCTATTTAAAATTAAACTTAAATCGAGAATTTACAAAAACGAAACACTTTTGTGATACATTGGAACTCAATTACAAAAGTCTATTTTTTTAGAATGGCAAGCACACGTTCAGACACCATAGCGAAGCAGACTTGGAAAACATGCAGAAGTCCTGTTATGCAGTGACCTTCATGATCCGACACTTCAACAGAATTTTCACAGCCCCTCATGCCGAACTAGTCCTCAAGGTCAGCCAATACTACACTGCCAAACAGATCATCAGACAATCTAGGGCTCTAACACCTTCCAGGTTCGCTGCAACTGAAACCCTGCACCCATCGTTAGCCCGTATTACCAGGTCGACCTGTCATCAAAAAAACACATCTGCAGGATTTGGCGGTTCACTTAAGCGAACGCTCTTTAGTACTAACCCAGTCACTTCAGCTGAAAGTTCAGCCAAATTACATCCATCAAGCCGAGATTCAACTAGCAGAAAACGACCTGTGCCTTGTGAAGGCAACGAGAAACCCGACCTACAAGAGAAGAAGTCGAAGCGAAGTCGCTCGGTCGGTGCTTCGCTTAAGAGCAGATTGGTGTCTTCAGTTGCGGGTTTGAGGAAAAACAGCGCGGCGTCGCAACTCTGCTCTGCGCAACAACTTTACGTGAGTATTCAAAAATTCTTCGAATTATTAAAGAGTTATCAATGCTAACTTTTTATTTAAAAAATAAGGTTGGAAGTTGATATATGCTACTTTAACATACGTAAGATATGGTATATGCGACAGTGAGGTATTTTTCTAAATAAAATAACACTCTAAAGTGGAACTACAATATATATGAAACTGATTGTTCATGACCTCAAATAGTAATTAAATAGTAAAACCGCTAGCCTGCAGCAGTTTTCAGTACTCAACGAAGATGAAGAGCTTTTGTTCGCAATGAAGTAATAACGAGCACGCAGTCTGTAATAACTTTGTTGTTGTTTTCAGGTGCAATCTGAACTTGGTGGCCTCATGTGTTCCTCGCCCGCCGGAATAAAATCACCCGGAAGCTACCAACTTCTGTTCTGAACAAATTTGGCACCCACTTTTACTCAATTTGAGTCAAATCTTCTTAATCTTCCGAGTAAACTTAATTCGACCTTATTCATCCCAATTTGTAAATGTTTACTGTATATAGTTTGATACTTTGAAATTTCTCTTTTAGAGTATTTGATACTCAAAATTAAATTATATTAGAATTTCTATGGTTTTAACTGAGTAAACAAAAACACAGGCACTAAATCCGATCCAAAAAAACCTCAATCATTTCGGCATTCCGGTGCCGCGATCCAGTGTCGACAAAAAAGAGTGAATTAATATTCTAGTGGCTTAGTAATTCTAACTGATAGTTCGTAAGGTTTAATGTGTCCAAAATTTTGTCTACAAAAATATACAAAAACTCACCACATTAAACATACCAGCTCATGGAAAAGCTATCCTCATACTCCCAAAGTAATGACTTCATCTGGTTTAAAAACATTCAGAATGAAGTAATTGTCTTTCTACATATACAAGCAGGACTGATACAACTTCCCAATCGTTGAGTTTGAAAAATTACATGTAAAATATTATTGAAACTTTCGTCGAGGTATGTACCTATCGTCATTTTCCGAATTGAGGATGGGTCGTCCATGGAACAGCTATCATAAGCAACAGACCGATTATTCCTCAGTTGCACTCAATTCAATTATTTTCGTTTCGACATTCAAAACAAGTCATGAAACATTTGAGCTAGCTTGTTATGATAAAGCATTGATCTGTTCAGTGATTGCATTTGGCTTAAAAATTAAAAAATACTGCGAAGAAGTACGAAAAGATGTTGAAATTTCGTAAGGTTTAATTTGTCCAAAAATTTGTTCACACAAAAATAAACAAAATTTCATGCCAGCTCATGATTGTTATATGTGATGGTAGGGATCGTCCATTTCACGCGACACCCATTTTTGGCAGAAGCAACCCTATTTTATTTCTAAAAGCACCTTATGGCGGCAATTTTTATATTATTTTGAGAGCTGTTCAAATTTAGTCTTTTTGATTTATTAAGAAATCTCGGAAAATCAATTTGAGAAAATAGTCAAGAAAAATTTCCAAACGGTGTGAAATTCCGCCCTTCACTTTGAGAAAATGCTTACTGAAATGGAAGCGGTGCTAAAATAGCTTAAACACTTGAATTTGGACCTGCGCAAGAATAATTTGACCTATGGGTGGTTTGAGCGGTCACTTCAATGGATGGATCCAGCGATACCACATAATAGTTACATAAAGTTTTTTCTTTTTATTTATTTTTTGCTCTAGTTTTTCACAGCTTCTAAATTAATTTGAAAACTGGGAAAAATATAACAAAAAGAATAGACGACCGTGGCAAGTTTGCTTGATGGCACGCAGAAGGAAGATTACTTCAAAGCAATCTCAGTGTTGTGGCCTGAATGTAGGTGTTGTAAGCCCAATTATCCCGTGTAAAAGGCGCTTACAGAATAACTTTTGTTCTTTCCAATGAAAATGCTGTCAGAGTACTCATCCTGAAAGCTGATGAGTTTTGACATCCCAAGTCAATCACTGAGGGTAGGAGTAAGAAAGTTAATCACCCCGCCCCTAGTAAACTGATACTATTAGCATTTTCGTATTTCGGGGGGTGGGAAAAAGAACAAGTTTGCAGATGATTTTTCCGAGTATCTATTTTATATTTCTCGGATACCCAATACTTAAAAGTGACAATCATGCAGCAAAATATACATTTCTGATTCGTCCAAAATCCGGTGCATCAAAATACGAGAAAAATTACATAATCAAGCTGCAAGACTATAGTTTTTTATTGGTTGAAACTCAATGCAGCTAGATATGTCATTGCGCGTCATTGTGCTACTTAATTTAAAAACTAACCTGATTGGAAAATACTCTGATTTTCTATAATTTCATTTTCCTACAGTAGTGTAATCTGATCAGATGGTAAAATTGAAACTAAGCTTTTGCAAAGGCTAAAAAGTTTGATAACATAATTGAAACTGCTTCGATATACCACGCATGTATATATCACTTTCGATCAAGAAAAGCAAAGCGCCTCAGTATACGGTGTCAGGTATAAGCAAGGAAATAACTATAAATTTACAAGTGCAAATAATTTCTGATTCCAAATCAAAGTAAACCGCTACCAAACTCAAAGTAAACAACTGAATCCATTCCAAATCTGTTTCTACCCCCAAAATGCAGTAGACCAAAATAACAAGCAGATTTCCTCAGACTGCAAGAGCGAAAAACCGAAACTAACTCAGACTCAAATAAATCATTGCAAGTGTCGATCGAGAAACAAGGAAAGAGAGAGTGATCTTCAGCTGCTGAAACATTTGGGCTGCAAAACTTGAATAGTTATTGTTTATTTTCTATATTCATGTTAGTCTGAGTAAATTTTAAACGCCTTTAAACCAAATGATTGGTTATCTTAAAATTCAACAAGAAATTAACCGTTGAACCATTACTCTCATTGAATGAAAGCTTAAGAAATCGTATACAAGTTCTATATTTCCACAGAGTAGAAAAAGAGAAATTTATCAATGAAAGCTTTCAGTGGAAAGTTCTCTATAATTCGATACTTGCTACTGAACAGTTTCTAGACTTCAGAATTGAAACATTTTAGTTCATTGAAAAACTAGTTTGATGATTTTGTTCAGATTTGTGAAGAAAATGCTGAAGAAATAGGCATTGTTTCGTTTATTGAGTATTTCAAATATTCAATTTCAAGATATAGTTTATTTTTGTTTCAATCAAGAACTGTTGAAGTTGAGAAAGCAAAATTCAAAAATGAAATTTAGCTTAGGGTCGGGGTCCTAGTTATTATTTAAGCGCAAGCCTGGGTTGAAGGTGATTAATATCGGTTTGATCGTAATCTTGTTTTCCTTTTTGATTATAATAGTCAGTCATGTTAAGGAAATCATTACTAATACTTGGTGGCTTGACTTATTTAGTTCTAGTAGACTTTCAATTTTTTCATATAAATCTTCGTTTTCACACATTTGGATAAAAGTTGAGCAAGTATAAAATGTAGGGGGGGGGGAGTACAATATCAGGGTTGCTGGTAACGGTTTATATGCAGTTCTAAGCCTAATAACTTTTGTTGTAAGCAAAATGGAAGCTCTACTAATGGGACCTTTTTGGTTCTCCTATGGTAGGGAGAGCCATTAGTTGAAGCGTAGTATGAGATGAAAAACACTGTAAAACTGCTAAATCAAAATTTGAAATAAGTAGAAATATATTAAATTTTCAACATTTTCTTAATTTTCTGAGAAAAGGATTTCGACTAATTAGAGGTTCCGAACCCGATAACTTTTGATATGATCAAGATACACAACTGTCTAAGATGATCTTTTCTGTTCTTCTATGATAGGGCAACACAGTACTCTAACTATTTTTTTTATTTCGATTATAAATTGAGTTGTAAAAACTTCTCAAAAATTTTTATGTGAAAATTTGAAAAAATCCAAAAAAAAGGAAAAAAACAGTTAGAAACAAAAAAATTGATTTTTTGTCTCTAACTGTCCAATGAAGCTTCCAATTGATCAAACAAGAGACATAACACAATGAAAGAGCTTTGAGAAGCTCTAGAGATGTTTTTTCGTAAAGGTGATTTTTTCCTTTGGGTGTCTAAATCGTCAGCCGAGATGAAAATTGAAACTTTTTATTTTCCAGCAGCCTCCCGGAACCAAAGTTCGTCCTTGGGACGAACATTGCAAGAAATGCATTATTTTTGCTTTCAAACAACTACTTCACGGTAATTTTTCATTTTTAAGATTATTGATTTTTTGAACTACATAAAAAATAAAAATTTTATAAAATAACAGAAGCAAACGGATTGATTTATATTGAACCACAGGCTCAGAGCGTGAAATTTTTTAAATTGAAATAGAAGATTTTGTTGATTATTTTTTTTGAAAAAAATTTGATTTCGAAATTTTCATCTTTTCTTTAAATAGGATTTCGACTAATTCTAGGTTCCGAACCCGATAACTTTTGATATGATTAAGATACACACTTGTTTAAGACGACTTTTTCTGTTCTTCTATGCTATGGCAAGCCAGTAGCTTAACTTTTTTTTTATTTCGACTATAAACTGAAAAGTAAAAATTTTTCAAAAATTTATGTGAAAATTTGAAAAAATCAAAAAAAGAAAAATTTATAAAAAAAATGGATTTTTTTATTTTTTGTCTCTAACTGTCCAATGAAGCTTCCAATCGATCAAACAAGAGTCATAACACAACGAAATATCTTTGAGAAGGTCTAGAGATGTTTTTACGAAAAGTGATTTTTTCCCTTGGGTGTCTAAATCGTGAACCGAGATGAAAATTGAAACTTTTCAACTTCCAGCAGCCTCCCTGAACCTAAGTTCGTCCTGCGCATACATAGCAAAAACGCATTACTTTTGCTTAAAAACAACTACTTCACGGTAAATTTCTGTTTTTAAGATTTTTGTTTTTTGAACTACATAAAAATTTAACACAAGCAAATCGATTGATTTGTATTGAACCATGGGTTCAAAACGTCAAGTTTTTTAGATTGGAATAATAGATTTTGCTCAAGGTTCTGACCACGACAATTTTTGATCTGATAAAGATAGTCGCTTGGTAATGAGGACCATTTCTGTTCGTCTATAGTAGGGCAAGCCATTGGATTTATTAATTTTCCACCTGGATTATTGGTAGAGTGAGAAGTACCTTGTGACGTTTTTTGGGATGAAAAAGAATAATCAAAAAATTTCAAAAATTTAAATTAACCTAAAATTTTGTTTCCAACCGTTTGCTATGAGTTTTTTTGTCGTACTTGGAAACAAGGGGATCCTAGAACTAGTCTAGTATAAAAATAAAAAATTTGTTTATTCCAAAAATAAAGAACTTGGTGGACATTCTACCTGATACGCTATATACCTCTTTCTAGATTTTTCTCATTAAATTTCTCTCTAAGTTTGATTGAGAACAACACACTAAAAATTAATTGACACAATTGATAACGAAACAATCAAGGAATGTCAAGCATAAACTGATTCATGAGCAGTTCTCTGGTATTCTAGATTTTATGAGTTTGTTTCGATTTTTCATACTAAGTGTATTTTTCTGAGCCAAAGATGGCGAATTGGCT